TGCTTTCTCAAGGCAAACAGAACTCCCCAGGTGTTAATGCAAATTCACTCCCGTTAAGATGAAAGAAGGCTGTTTCTCCCTTTGCTGGCTAATATGAAGGACTTAATAGATTCAGCCTCAGGAACTATGGTTGGGAGGGGAAGGCTGGGGGACGGATCGGATGGGGCAACGAAGAGAAGTCTCCGGTGGGTGTTAAAGCAGGACAACCGTCATAGCGAGTGTGACTGACGACAGTGCAGCACACGCCATCCCATCCTCTACCTGGGCTGACAGGAGCTGGGCCTGATACCCAGGAGGAGATAGCAGGAAGCCCAGAGTGCTGATGCTAACCCCCTGCCCCGTTGCCCACTGCCCTCCACATTAACTTGGGGGCTGGCACCACAATTGCTACTCCGCAATTTGTGCCAGAGGCATGTGGAACTAGAGGAAGGGTCAGGGTGAGGCTAGCTGTCTGTGCAAGCATCTGGTTCTAGTCCAGCTTGTGACTGGCCACCCCTGTGGGATACTGGGTCAATCACTCCCCTTTCAGCTCCCAGGAGGGCGAAACTGGTTTTACAGGCCCTGGGAGATGACCAGTCTGAGGAATTTCTTTAGAAACATGACATTCAAAGACTGTTAGAACCGGAAGGTCGCTTCAGAGCTCCTCTGGTCCAAACCTTACCTTTTACAATTGAGGACATACAAGCCCAGAGTGGAGGGACTTCCTCAAGGCCACACAGCTGAAGGCAGAGAGCTGGAGGGACCAGAACCCACGCCTGCTCTTCTGAAGTACAGGCCGGAAGCCCGAGTGTCCCTCTGTGGGACACAGACCAGTTGGCTCTACCAGCCACAGAACCCCTTCCTCCCATGGCCGTGGGAGCCCTTCTCTAGCCTGGAACCCCTGCCCATCCCAGAACTATCCTCCACTGAAAATTATACAAGGCGCAAGCTGGGGCGTTGCCGCGTAGGGTGGGGGGATACCGTGCACAGTCTGGGCTGCGGCAGGTGTGTGCTGGGGGCCCCAGGAAGATGTCTCGGGGCTCAGCTGGGGATAAAGGCAGACTTCAGGGAGATCCAGAGAGAGGGTGAGTGGGAGTGAGGCTGTCCCCACTGGTCCACTTCACTTGTCTGAATTTAACTCCTCTCTTCCAGGGCAAATGGCACAGCAGGAGCCTGAAAGGAGCTGCCTCCGCAGCCTTCTTCACTTTTGTTTACTGACTTAATTCCTTCAGATCAAAGGCTGCCCCTTCCTCCCCTAGCAGGCAGGCAGGGGAATTACATTATTTATATTGGAAATGGGCAAGACTCCACGGGGACTTCTTCCTTATGCCTGATAAAAGAAAATTAGGTCACTGCTGTGCCTCCCTGGTATCTGCGGTTGGGAACTCACAGCCCAGGTAAGCGGAATAGCTCCAGGTGTAGAGCTAGGCGCTGTTCCCCCCCCCCCACACACACACACACAACCCTCTCCCACCCTTAGCCTCCAGTAAATTATTGACCGGAGCAGCAAGTATTAATGTGACAAACCAGAACATCTTTCCAGGCAGCCCCAGCCGGGGTTATCTATCATCTCCAGGGCTTTGCAGCTGGCACTGGGCAAACATGGCAAGGACAAACAGGCCGGATGCAGGTTCATTAAGCTCCTGGTGCAGGTGGAGGGATGGGGCCCACGTGGGGGCTGACAGTGGGCTTGGTCCCTCTGAGCCGGGGCTTCCTTGGGGTCACCACTGCTTTCTTCTCTGCTTCCTCCTGCAACCCCCACCCACACCCCGAGGAAGCATCCAGAAAAAGAGCCACCCTCCCTGTGTGGCAGTGCACTTAGAGCTTTCCCGGCATTATTCATCCCCCCAAAACCCTAAGAAACTTCCCTTGTAGAGGAAGAAATGGCCATGCCCAAAGCTTAGGTAACTTGCCTGGGATCACATGGATGGCACGTGGCTGAGCAGGGGTTTGAACCCAGGGCTTTCTGAGTTCCAAGCCATGAAGGGCCCAGGGCCCCTCAGCTATGTGGTTTCCTCAGCCCTCCGCATGGCTGGGTGTAAAGAAAAGGTTTCATGTATCTTCATGCATGCTGCTTCTATGACTTGTAAATAACGGTAACACTGTTACCCATCCTCACCCCTTTTTTCTTAGAAATTTGTGTACTTTTTGGCATGTTCTTCATGTTACCTTGACAATGTCCCAGAGGTACCCAGAGGCATCACTGTCAACCCTGTTTCCAGAGGGGGAATCAGGTTTGGGGAAGCAAAGCGTCCGGCCCTATAGGGAAGGGGCGGCACAGAGCTAGCGTGTGGCTTGGCGGACTGGCCAGGCAGGCTCTGGCTGCGCAGGCTGCGGTTCTCTTCAGGAGATGTCTTTATTTCCTTGGCTCAGAGGCAACATGCCAGGAGCTACCATCCCAGTGAGAGATGGGCTTGAAGTGGGAACCAGGAGAGGACTCTGTGAGGGTTCCTCTGGGTCAGCTCGGGTCCGCATGGTGCTGATGAATGGGCCCGCGCTACCTCCCTGTAAGTGAGTACCAGACTCCCTACCCGGTCAAGGACTGCGGCCGCAGCATCCTGCCATAATGCAGCAATGACAGGCTGCCAGGAAGCCCCAGGAGGGAAGAGGCGCCCGTGGCCGCTCTCCGCTGCCTGGGCTGTCTGAGAGGGAGACAGAGAGTATGTGGAAGGCTCGACTTTCTCTTCCCCAGACGTGCAAGAAATTGGATTAGACACAGTTGCAGCAATTTTCTCACCAATACCTTTCCCCCCCAGAGTCCTGCTGCCAACTCATCATTATACGTGGGTGGCTCCCTACCCGCTCCTCCAAAGCGAAGGCTTCAGGGGTGGGCAGCCCTGGGAACAGCTGCCAGGCACTCAGCTCTCAGGTGAGGACCAGAGGCAAAGGACCAAGTGCTGGCAGGGAGGCCAGAAGGCGCCACTGAGGGATCCCATGGGACTAGGCTGCAAACACCACAATTAAGCACTGAGGGGAGGCCAGCGGTTTTGGGTTACAGCATGGTCAAAACAAACTAAAAACAAAAGCAGGGTAGAAATCCACTGGTCTCCCCCACACCAAAATACCAGGCAGTATTATTCATTCTAACCTCACTTAATGAAGACCTTGGGATCAGTGTGAGCATATTACAATCTTTTGGGGGTCAGAGGTTGGCTTTAAAAAAATGTCAGGTTAAAATATTATCTGGACAGCTTCAAATGACAAGTGTTTGTTAGGTACTTTCTTTGGCTCACCCTATGTAGGAAATCAAACTATTTCCAATCACTGAAAATAACACTCTACATTTAAGAAATGAAGCAGTTTCATATTATTATTTATCTCATAAAATGATCTAGTTAGTTACTAATTCTATAATTCAAAACTAACAAAGTATTGGGCAGGCTGAGTGGCTCAGTTGATTAAGAGTTGGCTTAAAAGTGCGAGCTCTGGGCCGGCCGAGTGGCTCAGTTGGTTAAGAGCTCGCTCATAGAGCTTGAGCTCTGAGCAACAGCAGTTCGAGTCCAGCCCGAGCTGAGCAGCCGCTGAGCTGCCAACAGGTAGCAGGATGGCTCAGCTAAAAAAAAAAAAAAAAAAAAAAACAACAACAACAAACAAACAAACAAAAAAAAGTGCGAGCTCTGAGCAACAGGGCCGCCGGTTCGATTCCCACATGGGCCAGTGTCGCTGAGCCTGAGCTGAGCCGTCACTGAGCTGCCAACAGGTAGCAGGATGGCTCAGCTGGTGTAACAACAAGATTGCCTGTTGGATGGTGGGCAACACCCACCCGCAACTAAGACTGAACACAGCACCTTGAGCTTAGAGGCCAAGAGCTGCTGACGGGAAGCCAGATGGCGACGGGCGCCCTCCACAACGAAGAGTGAAGAAAAACAACTTGGCGAGTCCTCTTCCCCAATTTCCTAACACTGTTCCCCTCCCCCAATTCCCCAATAAAAAACATCTTTAAAAAAAAACCAAACAAACAAAAACTAACAAAGTATTATTTACCAATTTTACAATTTTCTAATTTTACAACTTCAAACGTATCTTCCCAAAATATATTTAAAAACTAGTTATATTTAACTCAGGTTCTTGGACATTTTAATGTATTTTGGTAGGTTGTTTTCCTGATTGGTTTGTATAATGGAGACCTGAAATGCAGGCAGCACTGTGGTCCCTTAGAAGTCCTGATAACACATGTGCCACCTGAATCTCTGATTTTAAGATGTGTGATTTGGGAAAGGGTTATCCTACAGTAGTTTTGGTCTTTTTTTTTTTTTTAATTGGGGAACAAACAGTGTGTTTTTCCAGGACCCATCAGCTCCAAGTCAAGTAGTTGTTTCAATCTAGCTGTGGAGGGTGCAGCTTAGTGGCCCATGCGGGGATTGAACTGGCAACCTTGGTGTTATGAGCACTGCGCTCTAACCAACTGAGCTAACTGGCCACCCCAGTAGTTTTGGTCTTAATGAAGGACTTTTATTGATTGAAAAAATAGAAACAAAACAAAAAAACCAGAAGCTCTACAGCTGTAGTTCCCAACTTCAAGTGTTAATGTTGTGTGGTCCCGTGACAATAGCTGGGCCTCATTTGTTCTGCACACAGTGCCTGGGCCGCCAGTGGCTCTGCATGTCCGCCCACCCTCCCTCCTCCAGAGCCCAGAGGGGGAAACCAGGAAGCAGAAGCACGTGGAGGGATCACTCAGTCCAGCACCCTAGTTTTCAGGTCTGGAACTGAGGACAGGTAGGGGGTGTAGAAAGGAAACACAGGCACTGGGACCCGGCCCAGGACCCCTTTCACAACCCCAAGCGCCCCACAGAAAAAGAGAAGGGAGTTCCCAAGTGAAGGTATAGTAAGGGGTGGTGTCATCAGCCCAGAAAAGGTGATCCTTTTACTACCAAAGACACGGGGCTGGAGTTGAAGTGCAGAAAGGGAGGGCAGAGGCCCTGTTTCCTCAAAACCCGTAAGAGGTGGCCTTGCCACCCAGCCTGTCTTGCCACCTCAATGGCCTGAGCAACACGCTAGCTGAGGAAACCCAAGACAAACTGTTTACGGCTTAGAGTTTTTATTAAAACAATCATTTAAATTACAGCAATCCCCAGAACAGAAAACAGCCTTCCATGGTCTGGCCCTGATAGGAGGTGAAACTCGGGCCCCAGAGGAGGAAGTGCGGTTTGACATCTTTGAAAACGTTTGGAGCTTCTCTGGAAGCCTCCCCGCCAAGGCTGCCTTCCCCCAGGGGCTGTGAGGCTCCAGCCCTGTCAGCAAGCAACACTTAGTTACCTTCCCTGGGTGTCAGCTGCTGGACTTGCCGTTTTGACTTGAAAGAGAAAGAAAGGGCGAGAGAGAAACCTGCCCCCAGGATTACAAAACACAGTCACTTAAGAAGTGTTATGTAATGCCACCGGGTGTTGTCTGGTGGGGCCTGGCTGCGTCCATGAATAGTTGAGTGAATACCAGGGGTCAGAGTGCTGCTGTGGCTGAGGTGGGGCCTCACTCAGGATGAAGGAGGTGGTCTGTGGGAAAACAGCTAAGGGTGACAGCGCAGCCTCACAGCGTGTCACTAGCTGGGCAGTGACTTCGTGAATGGTGCTTCTGACCAAAACCCCTCAGCAGTGCTTGTAATGAAATAGTCATGGCCAGGCCCCTGCTCTCAACGGAGTTCAGAGGCTTCCTTGCTTGATCATCTCCCCGCCCTAAAAATGTTCACTTAAGAAGAATGGTCCCCCGAGCCACAGGCACACTTTGCTGAAAATCAAGCTCCTCCTTCATTCCTTCTCCTTCCACTGGGGCTCAAGGCCTTTCTGAGAGCCACCACTGTCTCCGTGTGTCCACCTGTGGGAGGCGCCCGCCAGGTCTCGCCTCCGAGGGCTGAAGTGCTCCTGGCTGAGCGAGGCCTCTTGTCTGCTCCCCAGGCCCGAGGGGGCTCCCCACAGCTCAGGTGCCAGCTGGCTCCCTTGGCCACTCGGCTTGGCATTTCCTAGACTCCAGACATACACACGGCAGTTAAACAATAATAATTTTAAAAAGCCTGACGATGCTCTTATAAATGACCGCCATGCTCCTGCGCCCATAGCCACAGTTCCGGATTAAATTTACATGTCAGGAGGAAAGTGACTATCATGGATATTCAGGAATGGGTGGAGAGCCTGAGGACACAGCCACAAGCCAGATCTTACTTCCCCCGACATCTCAGGGGAAGAGGCCTTTGAGAGACAGGGAAACACGAAGGAACTCGTTCAGCCCCAGCCATCCATGCTTAGTGTCCAGAAGCGGAGTCCCACCCTGTATGTCTTAAAGGATGGGGGCCGAGACACAGAGGGCTGGCTTCCTCGGGGCAATGTGGCCCAAAAAGGTGGCGGCCAGCCCAGGACACTATTAGGTCAGCCTGACTGTGGAAAGAAGGCAGGATTTCTGTGAACTTCTGTTTCTCACGCCACAGAGGATTGCCAGAGACCACCTCTGCTCTCGGGAAATCTCCAGGCCCTCACACGTCTTCATTTAATAAGCATCTTTTCACTGGTTAAGACTCATCACCTGCTCTGCGAAACAGCCCCATTGGAAGGATCTGAATGGCAGCACCAAGCCATGTTGTACAGAAAGGGCAAGAAAGTGGTTCCAAACCAAGGAACCAGCGTTGGCCATAGGGCTGGTCTATGGCCTGCTGCCCGGCATGGTGGGTACTGGTGCACCAGCAGGTACGGCGCACCAACTGTGAGTGACACCTGCATCCAGCTCAAGCTGGGAGGGGCACAAAGGGACCCCACACAGCCCACAAGGGACTATAAAGGACCCTCTGGGGGACGAGGGCAATAGCAAAAGAAGGCCCAAGTATAATAATGGGTTAAGAGGGGCTTGCTGGCACACGGCCAGGAGAAAAAGTGATTCAGATCAACAATGCAGGCTGGGCCCAGTGCAACTCGGCGTTTGGGCCAGCGAGAAGTACCTGTGGGGACTCAGAGCTCTAAAGGGTCCCCAAGTCCACGACCGGCAGGGGAGGCTAAGGCTGCAGGGAGGTGGAAATGCCATGTGGCTCCCGCCCGCCTCTGGGGCCTTGGTTGGGGTGGTAGGAGGACAGTCTGTGTTCTGATGGTGCAGAATCCTACACGGCTCTCCTGGCCTCCCAGCCCCTCTGCTGGCAGCCAGCCCTTTGCCATAGCTTCTGCCTCGTCTTCCCCCAGCCATGGCGGCCAGAGTGCTGCCTCGGGGGTGCTTGGGCCGGGGCCCCATCCCTCGGCTCTTCATGGGCTGTGGGCGAGCTCGCTGATGATGTGCAGCAGGCAGGCTGCTCTGCCTGGGCTCAAGAGGGCCGTGCTTCTTTGCATGCCAGTTCCTTGCCAGGGGAGGAAATGAATATTCTGGAAACCCAGGGGTGGGGTGGTGGCACCAGCCTCCTGGTATCCAGGGGCTCACGCATGTCACTCCCTACAGACACTTCCCGGCCTGGGCTGGGAGGCCAGCACTGGATGGTAAGACACACACCCCAGGGTGACTCTGACGAAGTATGGATCACACATTAGACGGGGAAAGACAAATATTTTTAAGAAATTTAAAGACTCAGGTCAGGAGAACTAGAACCCCATGAGAGAAATCTCTGCAGGGCTGTAGTTCAAGGCAATTGCACATGAAGGAGGGTGGGCTCTCCATTCGGCTGAGGGAAGGCTCAGCGCTCCCATGGAAGTTCCGAGCCAGCCCACCTACGGGTGGCTCCCACGGTGTCTGGCCCATCCTGCGGGTGCTGGGAGCAGCAGAAGTGGCGGATCCAGGGATGCCTGAGTCACCTGCTAGAGCTCTTCAAAGAAGGCCACTCGGGACTTGGCGCTCTGCAAGGTAAGCTGCAAGGAAGCAGAGAAGAAGTTGAAAGGGGGACTAGATTTCTACTCTTCCACAGCAGAACGCCATCCTGCCTGGTGGACTGACCTCAAAGGTGGTGTGGAGTGAAAGGGAAGATGGTTCAAGTGGATGTTCAAGAAGCTGGTGGTCAATCCCATATAAGTTTTCAGATTTGCCAAAGAACCCAAATTAGGAGGTGACAAATGAGGACGTTACAGGGGAGGTGGCTAGTGGGCAGAAGCATGTCAGCAGGAACATTTCATCCACATCGCCTTTTCAGAGGGAAAATCCCTAGAGATTCTAATAGGTTCTCACATTCCTGTCTACAAGGGCCTCCAACGAGCCTCTGTAGTGTGCTGCCTGCAATGGTGCCAGCCTGGGAGGCTCACCTTCCTCAGGGCTCCGAAGACCAACTTGGCAGAGCAAGTGGCTCAGTCCTTATGCCCTGGGGACACTGCGGGGGCAAGGCAATGTGGCCTCAGGCAAGGCAGGCCTGAGTCAGATGAGGAAGAGCCTGTCCCTTCCACTTCTGGTTTCCCAGGTAGCTCCAAAGCAGACTCGCCCATGACGTGGCAGCTGAGAGGGGATTTCCGTCCACAAGCTGGGAGGCAATGGGCTTTCTAGGTGGGGCTGGTTTGGGTAGGGAGACAATGCACACGGTGCAGTCCTCTGCCCAGAAACTATAAAGCCTTTCTGTGTCAAGCTCTCGGCATGGCAGATAAGGCATTAGAGTTTACAACCTCCTGCACTGCTGGACCCCAATTCACCGACTCTGTCGGCCATTTCCTCGGATCGCCCTAAACAGAAGCATCTGGCACAGGCACCCTCCCTCAGTGTCCTGCTCCCTGCTCTACTCCTGAAATCAACTGCTTGAGCAAGACTGTGTGTTCCATATCCAGCTATGGGACCTCATAGAGTTTTCAGGGAGGGGGACACAGTACATGCTGTTCCATCTTCATAGCCCCGAACCACTCACACTGCATTAGTGCTTTGCACCTACTAGGAGTTCAAACAATGATTGTTGAATGAATAAGATATAGGTTATAATGATAGCGAAATGGTGAGATGTGTGGGCAAGGCGAGAAGTTCACACGGGGCTGAGAAGGCCCAGGCACTTATTCGCTTCCATCACCAGCTCACTGTATGGCCTCAGTGGACATCCTTGAGCTTTCTGAGCAGCTCTCCTCTGGAGTTAAACCACAGGGGCAGGCTTGATGGTCTGGCCCATTCCCTCGACCTCTGGCAGTCTCTGAATCCGAAAAGTCCTTGGTACCATTCGTGGCTCTCCAATGGGCGGGGGAAGAAAGACGCCAAACCAACCATTTCACCATCAGACAGGCAGCATCAGTGTGCTCAAAGTGAAACAGCTTGAGGACCGGCTCTTTAAATTGTGCCAAATCTTTTGGCCTTGAAGTTCCTGACTAACAAGCTGAATGTGGGAAGGCATCTGAGCTGTTTTCTTCAGTGGAACCCATTTCAGAAGCGCTTTGGAAAACCCAGCACTGATCAGAATGGAGAGAGCTTTTATTTCTTTGCTGAAACCGAACTTCCTCTAGAAGGCAGTTGAGTTTGGATGGGTTTCCCCCTAAACGTGATCTGAGGAGAAGGGCCAGGAGTTATGGGCTTTGTGATCATGGACACCGGGATGGTAAATGGGAAAGAAAGAGAGCCAGAGAACCACCAGGACAGACATCCTCTTGGGGGAAGAGTTTAAATCAAAAGGTGTAAAACCCAGTGTCTCCGCTCAGGTTTCTCCCACACTCCCAGAGAAGACCTCAGGCCGGCTCCTCGGGGGACAGGGGACATGCAGGGGACAGGGCACTACCTCCAACCCTTCGACCCACCAAGTCCCACACAGGCACAGTCAGGCTACCTGACCCAAAGCTGTCTGAGCCACTGACCAGCTGGGTGGTCCTGGGCAGGTTACTTGCTCTGGCCTCAGTTCCCCACCATGAAGCGAGGGTGGTGGCAGCCCCTTCCTCACAGGGTAACATGGGGAGTAACTGGGAAACACTGTGAAGCACTCAGCACCATGCCTGGCGAACAGTGAGAACTCAACAGCTGTTATTACTAACAGCAGCGTCACGTTTCTTTCTCTTCCCCCACGCTCGCTGGTTCCTCTCCTTCCAGCAGGGGAGCGGGGCACAGTGCAGGTTAGAAGGGGGTGCAGGTGAAGGCAGGGTCACGTGCTGTGCTGGCCTCTGTGGCCTCTGAGGCAGGGCAAGTGAATGCCCCCAGATGCCTGGCCACTTCCCCAGGCAGGGAGCCCAGGCTGTGGGGGCCTCCACAAGCCTCCTGCCCATTTGTACAATGTTGGCTCCAAGAATTCCTGGATCCGCTACCCAAGTTGCGTGCTGGCTGTCCCCTCAAGGTGCCAGGGGAGGGTTTTGGCAGCTCTGGCAGCGCCAGACTCCAGTTACTTGAACGAGTGTTTGTTGGGATGCAAAGCCCTCTTTGGATGGGCAGGATGCTTCCTCAAACCCCCACCCCACACTGCATAGCAGCGGCTCAGCCTGACCTCTCATCTTGCAAGAGCAGAAGTTGTACCCCAGGCCAGCAAGGTGCCGAGCAAAGTCAAGTACTGTGGTCCTGTACAAACAGGAATGCACCCAGACACATGGCCTTGGCAAGAGGAGAGAGTGCAGTCTTCCAAAACGCACTAGGCTGTTAGAGGGACAGGCAGAGCCACCGGGCAGAGGCAGTCGATGTGGCAGCTGACACTGAGGGCACTGGGAGCCTCCGGCCGCAGCCCGCAGCACTCCTGACTGCCACCGCTCCCGCCTTTTACCCTTACTGTACAATTCGTGGCAGTTCCAATTCCATCAGGAACCCTGTCGTCAGAGGAAATTACCACATGAACCCCCTGCCCACTGCTGAAACCCTTCTAGTTACCACCGCGGCCACTGCCTGCTTACACCTCAGCAGCCTCCTTTATCTTAGACATCAAAAAGTCCTCTTCTCAGCTGAGCCAGCCAGCGCGCTCTGCGTCTGACATAGGAGGGCACGGGGGGTGCTGGGAGTAAGAGGAGGGTCTGCAAGGACAAGCCTGGGGCTTCCTTCCCTGGGGGGGGGGCGCAGTGGCCCAGGGCAAGGGAGGGTTCCTGAAAAGAGCCCAGGAGGCATCCCCTCAGACACCTGCCAGCTGCGCTCTGGCCGCTGTGCAGCCTCCCACTTCCCACCTCCCACTTCCGCTGGGCACACTCTCCTCGCCCGTGGGATCCTTCACCACCTGCTTTTTCTAGAAAGCTGTCATATTTACAGTACAGCTACAGGCAGGAGGTATTCATAAAGGAGAAGGGGGAAGGCTCAGAGGAAACGGCACAGAGCTAGCTCTTCATAAAATAAACTGCCTCTGTGGGCCTTCTCTGTGTACTCGTGAAAACCGGCTAACAAGCGTTCCGTTTCCCTACCACCCCGCACACCCGAAGGTATACGAGCCCACGTGTGTTTGGGCCATCTTCTTGCTTAGTGGTCGGCCTGGCTCTCTCCACACAGCACACAGGTACCACAGAGATGATCCGGCTCAGGCCCTCGCCTCCTGTATGTCACACTGGGAGCACGGAAGATAGTCCTGTGAGTCCCAACCACCCCATGCATTCCCTTTGGTGACCAAACAACACCCCTCCGCACCCTCCAACTAGACCTACTGGTGCAGGGGGAGGGCGGGCAGCACCTCCAGGAGGGAGGGTAATTCTCCAAGTTCATGGGGTGTGGGCTCTACAAGCACACCGCCATGGCCAATCGCCAAGGTTGTCGGCAAAGAGGTCTCTTCCAAATTTCAATAGGAGGAGAAAAGCTTAAGTAAGTAAGCGGGGAGCCTCACTGACAATGGCTGCATCATTCTGAGATCTGCTGAGTCTGGTCCACCTGCTTGACTCCTTCTGAGGACAAGTGGGTGACCATGTCTGCCATGCACTGTTTAAAACTCATACTGAATCCTGACAAGGGCCAACCACGGGAGTCCTGGCGGTCATGCCCAGTTCCTTCGGGAAGCGATCAGCCACATGGGCTTCGCACAGCCTCCAGCCACGGTGCTCCTGCCAGTTCCCCAACAATGACTAAAAGCACATGAAGTTTCCTCAGCGGGCACTGGACTGACCCAGTGCTTCTCTCTTCCAGCTGTCTCTTCACATCTGATTAAAATCAGCTGTGTGAATAATACAGGCGGAATTAAATTCTCTCCTGACTGAACCAGCTGTTCAAGTCAGTCATTAATCCAATTCCACTCTGAGACACGTTTCCTTTTCTTCCTCTGCCGCAGACCTATACGGCTTGGTTTTTATCTTATGGGGGCTCTGCTCTACCTGTTAAGCCTGGCCCCTTTCTTTTTGCCCAGTATCGACAGACACAAGACTGGCCAGGTCACCTCTCCTCCTGCTCATTTCTCCATCAAACTGCCAACTGTTTGTGACAGCCATCAGGCTGTGAAAGGGCAGGAGGGAAAGCCACTTGGCAGAGCCAGACCTCCTAACGCTCCCCAAACTTTGTATGGTGTGACCAGAGGGACACATCCACCCAATCTAAACAAGTTCAGCTTCAGGAGACATGGCTGTCTCCTTAAAAACACAGAAGGCTGGCTCCTCTGGACCTTAGGAAGGACCTGGTACCCAGCAGGTTCTCCCTAATCCAGGCACACAGGAAATACGCAGACTCACTGGTGCTCGCTGGGGGAGGATTTCAGGCAGCCCATCACAATGCAAGGAACTGGCATCTGCTACTCCTAAGAACAACTAGCCCCAGGGTCTCGAGCCGGCAGGCCTGGAAGGCACCTGTGACAAATACCAGGCTCACCAGTCCCTCCCAACCTGCCCCCGCAGGGGAGGGCTTCCAGCTGCAAAGGCTCCTCCAGCATCTGTCCCAAGAGTGCCCCCTGCTGGAAAAACACAGCAGGGGGGGCGCTGCCAACTCTTCCCCCAGCTCTCCCCTAAAAGTCATTTTGGGGGGAACTAAATGTATCTGGGCACAGAGCCTGTAGCAGCAAGGCTGCTTGATTAAGAATGAA